GCAGGTTAAAAAGCGTTGGTTAACCGCGAACAGCTCATAATATTATTAATAAAATGATAATGATAATAATGAGAATAACAAATTTTTTTGTTAACCTTGGGAGTGAAAAGGTGAAGTTGAAACAGTAAAGTAAATAACATTTTTATTATTTTCTTGTTGTCTTATCAATATAATAAGCAATAATCTTAAGGCGTTTTGGGCTTGAAGCTAAAATGAAGATGCTGATGATGATGACGCTTCAGAATATTTTAGCTCAATAAATTTATCTATAACACTTCATGTGTGTGTTCAGGATTAAATCAAGAGAATCTGTCAACTTGAGTCAACCAATTGATAATCAACTGTAATTATGTAAATTTGTGAAAAAACCTTTCTTGTGGTCTCAACGTCTATTCATATTTTGAAGCATTCTGTTCATGATACTGAAAGGTATTGTGTGAGTGTGTTTTCATATGTTTTAATGAATTCAGAATAATGTATTACAAGGAAAATGCAATCTGCTTTTTCGATTGTTGTTGATTCTTGTTTAGAATTTTGCTGTTTTCAGTTGTTTTTTTTCTGTTTACACCTTCATCCATTCTTGTATTATTCAATGAATTTGAGATTACTTTTAACACTCACGAGATTGTTAAAGGTTTATATTCATCTTCATCATTATCATCATCATCAACACCATCTTGCTGCAAATTTTAATAGCTTCAAGTAATTAACCAATCACGGTTTCAGGTGTAACTTTAATTTTCATCATTGGCTACTCGTTTTTTATAACATTTTTCAATAATATTGCAATCATTGTTATTCATTGTCTTTAGTTTTTCAAATCCTTTTTTCGTTTACTTCTTGCTATCTGTTATGTTTAACCAAATCTGATTACTATTATTATCATTTCAAGTAGTTGATGGACACTCATGATTTATGGGACAATTATGAGCTTTACAATGAACAACTTCCTGAAATGAAATGTTTTTTGTTCATATTCATACGAGGAAAAGTTTGCATGGTAAAAGTTGCATTGTTGTTATTAACTGTTGAGGTAAAAAGATTTATTTTTACCTTCAAAATTCAACACAAAAATGAAGCTTTTGATACAATTTGAATAGTGATTAAAAACAAATGATTCATCATTTTTGTCAATTTACTTTGTTTTCCTTGTGTTTAAAGGGAGATTTTTTTGACGATTCAATTATTATTGTTTGGGAAATTGAAAATTGAATGATAAATTTAAAGCTATGATAAAGGGTTATTTGAATGAAATGGGAATTATTTGGTCTTGTTTTGTTGGATTGGTGAAAAAAATATTCAGGGAATGAGAAAAGTTTGCAAAAAAGTGATTTAAGGGAGAAATGAAGTTTTTATTGAGAAAATGAATGCAAGTGAATAAAAGAAAATCTATTTTGATTATCTGTTGATTGTAGAGTTTGATCATTTGGTCGAGTTAATTAAAATTTGCAAGTGAATGCAAAGTAAGACTGAAAATTAAATCTCATTTAAGTTATTCTCATTTGATCAGGTAAGAAAATGAACAGAAGAAGAGAACAGATAAAAGTAAAGAATCAAAAGAAATGTTGAAAAACGTGAACAAAAAGATCGCAATGATGATATCTTGCAATTGAATTAATTGAATAATGAGAAAAGAAAAAGAAGATGAAAAGTTTTCAGATAAAATTTCAAGTTTCAGTGCAAATATGAATCTTAATTTAAAACAGGGCAAGGCATCGTTTTATCATAGATATGAGTTAACTTGATAGGAATCATGATGAGTGACAATGAAAGAGTGACAATGTTTAATTAAAGGGCAACAAAGCGACTGAAAGTTTTGCAAAAAATGGGAGTTATCAGGTTTCTCTTTCAATGCAAAATGCATTGAGTTGAAGATAAAAAAGTTGCTGATTTTTGACCGAATCGGTGTTGATCATCCTTCATGATGTACATCAGGGTTTCACCTTAATCCAGGGCTTTGGACTTTGACTAACTGGTGAGTGAGCAAGTTGGGTAAAAGAGAGAAAAAACTTTTTTTTTTAAGGTGAAAAAAGTTGCTGCAAAGTTTAAAAATTATCCTGAAAAAAGTTTCCAGCATGAGACTGAAGGTAACTGGAAAACAAAAAAAATATCTAAAACTTTCTTACAACTTTTAGGTTGTTGCAAAGCAAAAAGTATTGAGGATGAAAAAAAGTTGAAATAAATAAATAAAACAAGTTTGTGAAACTGTGCGTTACTAGAAGTTGTTGCTGTTAAGAAGCATTCATGATGACGATGGTGATGATGATGATGAAGATGGAGAGGTAACACTAGTGAGCCTGAGAGAGGTTTGAAAAAAAAAGATGCAAGAAAAGTGGAAAAAAGGTGAAAAAGATTGTTGATTACAGGTTTCGTTTACTTAATCGAGTCAACACATTTTTGGCTGCTTTTTTTCCTTCTTACTGCAAACTTTACATCAACCTGCTACAGCTACTTTAAGATGAAATGATGAAGAGGATGAGGAGATAGTGATGAGTACGTCAAGGATCATCATTGGAAAAGTTGTTTAGCTTTTTTGCTTTCCTCATCTTGTTTCACCCAAAGAGTATTGCACTTTTTGGTTACTTTCATGAGTCCGTTGTTTCACGATTTTTTTGTTACTTCACTTTTCTTTAACCATTTTTTTGTTGTTTAACCAAAATTTGCAAACATCATCAATACCATCTTTAAAATTATCCTCAAGATCATCATCAACATCATCATGAACAACGCGTGATAATCTGACAGGTAAAAGAGGATGATGGTGAGAATGAGAAGAAAGAGGCTGACGAAAAGAGGCAAATATTTAGATGTGAAAAGAAATGAAAATATCGCAAAAAGATAAAGATGGTCAAATGTAAATATGTAAAAATAGATGACCTTTAGTGGTAGCAGAGAAATGGTTCAGTTGAAAGGTTAAGAGTAAATAAAAAGGTTTAAAAAGGTTTTTGTCAACAATTTAAACAATGAAATGATTGCTTAAATTTGATAAACTCGCTGCCATTGTGTCAAGTTGTGTGTGTGTGTGTGAATACCCACAAAGGGTCAATTGAATGACCATTGACACAGTTACACATCCACCCACTATCATCAACAGTTGAACCATCATTTTCAACATCATTATCTTCATCACTATCATCAACAGTTAGATTATTTTTGCCACTCATCATTTTACCTTTTTATCCTTCTCTCACTCTTTTCACTCAATCCATTCCATCTCCACATCATCATCATCATCAACATCTCCACCTTCTACTCCTCCTTCTTCCTCCTCTTTTGGTCCTCTCTATCGGTCAACCGTAAGGCCAATGGTGTGACCCTTTCTTCGATAATATTTGTTCGCCTTCTTTCATCATCTTCATCTCTTTCTGTTCATCTCTTGAGGGTAAAATAAGCAGTAAATAAGCAGACACATCACACAAGCACACAAATAGTGGGGTCAACTGTATATTTAAAGGATCACAAAAGTATTCATTTTGTCCGGCATCAACAGTGACCATCATAAACAACAAACGAACTGTTAACCTTTACTTTTGCCTCTTCAACTTGAAATTTCCCAAAATAGTCTATTCTCAATGAGATTTACAGTAAAGGTTGTTACTCACTATTCAGAGAGTTTACTATTCCTTAATCTTCTTCATCTTTAATCTAACCTCACCAGTGTTATTGTCACACATTCATTCTGCTCATTATCATCATCATCTTTCTCTCTGTTTCTCTCTGCCTTTTCTGGTCAAAAATTGTCTTTTAAAACGACTTAACTTAATCTCTCCATTGATTCAAATTTTCATTCATGTCCATTGATTGAACAAACGCAAGTAAAAAGTAGATGATCACAATCAGTAAACAATGCAAACACAAAATGACAGTAGACAAGATAATTATCAGCTTGCAAAGTGATACGAAAACTTGAAAGTTATAGTCAAACGCTAAATAGTAATATAAATGTCAAATTGTCAAATACAAAAAGGTTGTAAACAGCAAACAAACAAACAAACAAAAGTGTTAAAAAAACTATTTATCGTTATGGGTTTACATTTATTTACATAACTTAAACGATCAGCTGAAAGAAAAATAAAAAAGTAGTAAATCTTTTTCTATATCATCAACATCATCGTCATCATCTTCTTCTTCCAGGAAAATGTTAAGAGGAAAAGACAGAAAAGCTAAACATCTTGGCAAATATTTCTATGATTTGGTCAATTGAGTCTTTGCATACTTGACCTTAACCTCGATTTTTTTGCCTCATCTCACTGACCCTAGAAAGGCAAGGAAATTAGGCAAAGTTAAATGTTATTTAAGCACAAAATTAGCATTGAAAATGCAATAAAATGAGCAATGTAAACTTTCTTTTCTTCAACTTTTCTTGCCTACAAGTGAAAGTTATCGATTTTAGAGCAACACTTCAATTTGTTTGTTGATTTTTGCATTTTTGCCTGATACATTTTGCAGAATCTTTTTTCCCTTCGTGTTTTTTGCAGCAAATTATTGTGATGTTCACTTGTCTCGAAGCAAAAGTAATGTTCATCAGTTTAACAAGACAACATCAACTAATAAACTTTGAGTTTATTAGTATTTATTTTGGCTTTAACAACCAATAACAATCAGTCAATGTCTTATAACTACCAAGTACAAGCAAAGAAAGGAGACTCAAATTTCTTCTTTTGTTTCAACTTGTCCCAGCAGTAAAAAACACTAATTATAGTTAAATTAATTGCCATTCAATGCAATTACAGATTACTTTAACTTGCATATTATCAGAGTTGGGACAATATTTTTATACCAGTAACACAATCAGAAACGTTCATTTAATTTTCATTGTTTCAACTCTTTTCTGTATTCATTTGTGACTTAACATACAGCATTGGTACTAAATATGTTATCCATACTTTTCATTTGGACCCAATCTTTCAATGATACTTTATTTGTATCTAACTCTGAATCCAACAAAGTTTAACTGCATATCATCATGATTTAAGTGTTAATGAAAGTAAGTGGTTTACCTTGACTATGCCGACTTGTTGTTAGATAATCTCTTTTACAAAGTAAACGATTATCAAGAATATAAAGTTCATCTCCTGTTGACAATTCTTTATGACAATCAACACAAGTAAAACATCGAATGTGATAAACATTGTTTCGAGCCCAACGAACATAATCTTCAGGAAATATTGCTTGTGAACATCGGGCGCATTTTTTACCAAATCGTCTAATTAATTGGCACAAGATGGTTATTGGATCCATGAAGTTGTTTGTTGAAAGCAAAGATGATTGTATCATTGGTCATAATAATGGTCATGATGGTGATGGAAACACGGATGAAGACGAAGAGAAAAATTGGTCCATTAAATAAGTGATCGAAGTGAGACAATGGTCAAGAGTGAGAGAGAAGAGGGTTGACTTACTTGAAGAAATCTTGTTTACAAAATAATTTGCCATCACGAGAGTAACATTTTTCCGTTAACTTATTTTTACAATCAAAACATGCAACACAATAAGTGTGCCAAGTACGGTCAAGTATTTTGTCCAAGAAGCGGTCTTTAATGGGCTGAGCACAACCTTCACAGGAAACCATCTTCATGATGATGATGTTATTTACAAGCCCATGAAACAGAGAAATACGATGAACACGGCTTAAGTTGAGTTAAAAGGGTTTGACAGACGATGTTGTTGCTGTTGTTGGTGGTGGTGATGTATCAATTTTGGATTAAGAAACACTGGAATAACAAATGAAGAAAAAACGAAACAAAAAACAAACCATAAACAGAACTCTCTTATTCACAAAATTGTGGACAAATTAAGTGTAAAAATTAGAAGCTGATTGAAATGATAAAAAAAGAGGTAACATTGGAACAGAAAACACAGCTGAAGATATTGACACACACTGAAGTTAAGCTAAGAAGAAGAAACTGAATACAAAAAAGTTGTCAGAAGGCAAAAGGTACAAGTTGAAGAACGATTTTGATCAACAAAACATAAAAATCAACTTGACTATGAATAAAATGATGAATGAATTCAGGTGGTTATTTTGATGGTAAAACAATGGTAGGCCAGAAGATGATGAACACAAGTTTTTTTAGCGCTAAATCAACAAATGATGATACATACGATTATTATCGATGATTGTCGTCGTTTTTATTATTATTGTTGCTGTTGTTGATGTTGTTGGTGCTGGTGGTTTTTGTTGTTGCTAAAGTTGATAATGATATTATTCTTGATATTAGCGGAAAGAGGGAGTTTCGAGTAAAGCCGGTTCTGCAGGAGAGAATTTAATCGAAGAAAGAGAAGAAAGAAAGAGAAAGATGTAAGTCCAAATAAACAACAAACAAAAGGTGAGAGACTTTGGCAAAAAAACAACTTCTCGTTCACAATATTCAACTCTCAACATCAACATCATCTCAAGCATCTCTCAACAGCAACATGAAAATTTACCTTCAATACGGTTGCGTTTAAAACTGGGTCACGCCTTAGACCATTATATAACCAATCGAGGGATTGTTGAGGTGGAGTTTTTTGCCAGTTCAAAAAACAAGGTAAAAGTAAGAGCAAGAAGATGATGAAGATAGACACTGTGAGAGAGGGAAAGGGAGAGAGAGAGAGAAGAAAAAATAAGATGAGAAAAAGATGAAGAAGAAGAAGAGGTAAAGAACAAAAAATGCTTTGTATGAACTTCTTTTTTTTCTGAATAGTCTAAAGTAGTGCAAGTTGTTAGGATTGAGGTTTGCATTTTTTAGAGCTTGAAAAAAAGGTATAAAAATATGTAGAAATGATAATGTTGATGATGATTGTAATGGTGATGTTACAGTTGTGGAAATGGTGAGAAATTTGAATATTGAGATGGTAATGAAATGTTGCTTTTTGGGATTCCTTTTTTTCTCACTTCTCAATCTTTTCGGTCAATTGAATCTGTTCAGAGTCATTTGGTGGCCATCAAGTCATTAGTTTGGCTGTTTCATGAGATCCGCATTTTAGTTTCAATATTTAAAGGCCGGTTAATTGGTCAGTTTGCAATGCCTTTGTCTTCACAGTTTTGTTCTTTTCATCGATTGGAGCAAAATTTTTGGTTTGACGATGAAAATTATTGCGAGCCTGTAAGTCGATATAACCGGAAAGGTAAATAAATTGGCTGTGCAAAGGTTGGATCTTCCTGTTGATTCAAGGTTTACATGGAGGTTTGCTGTATATTTGTGTACACAATCATGATTATAATCAGATATACATGGTAAATGATATATCTTATCTTGAGTATCATCATAATCATTGATATCAGGCTACAGAATGAACCTGGAAAGAGATAGAAAAAAAATTATGAATAAAATGGAATGATATTGTAAATTGTCGAAACGAAACAAGATTTTCGATGGTAAAGTTGGAGATGAAAAAGGAGGAAGAAGACTGAATATTAGTTGATATAATATGATGAGTTGATGATATTGAGTTTCGTATATTTTGTTATCTTGATTGTCATCAATTTTTTTTCTCCTTTCGTTTCCATTGAATCCATTTTTATACTTGACCAATAAAGATGAGTTCAGTGAAAAGGGCAATAATGTAAAGGAGGAAAAAAAACAAGTCAACCAATTTCCGAATGAAAATAATAATTTCATTGAGAAATACAAGTTAAACAGAGTAAAGTAATGAAACAAACAACTATCAGAATGTGCATAAAACAGGAAACTTGATATTATTATAGCTAATAAAACGACCATGTTCATTGCCTATTAAATGTCCTTCACTTTTTTTTCATCGTCTCAATGATTCAAGTTGAAGAGAAGCATTTTTTCCATCATCACGTGCAGATTCCTCATTCACCAACCAACAACCACGATAAACAATACCCTGAGTATTACGATGAGTAAAATCACGATGGAGCACATTGGAATCCATGAATCTTTCATGCTCTCGACAATCGAATCATATTTGCTACCAATGAATCCATCATTTAAATTTATGTTTACCTAATGAAATATTGAAATGAAATAATTAGAAGAAGCAAATCAATAATCAATAATTATAAGAATGATAATGATAAAGACAATCATATGAAGAAGAAAATTATTCATTCATCAAAAGTTGTCATAAAAGTATGTTTTTCAGTCAACCTTTTTGTACTAACGATTTATCCGTCTCAATTTTAAGTCTCAATGAAATCTGTTTTGAAAACTATTCAAAGATAGAGGAATGAATGAAACAAAAAGAGGAAAGAGAAAAAAAAAATGAAAAAGAAATAATAATATTTAGTGTTTTTATAGGCAAAAGAATAGGTTTAGAAGAAGATGAGAAATGAAATGATGAGGAGGATGAAGGATGAAAAGGAAGAGGTAAAACCGAGTGTCTTTGGCACTTTTCATTTCCATTCTTTCAGGTAGTAAATTCCCAATTCATTTTTCCTTTTCACCTAACCTCTTCTTTTCCATCATCCTTTTTTCTTCTCTTCTTCACTTTCTCTTTTTCTTCAAGTGATTCAACCAGCAAATACTAACAAAAAAACTATATAAATGTGTGTACATCTTCTTCTTCTTCATCATCTTCATCATCTTCTTTAGTCTTTTCAGTTTGTTTCTAGATTTTGATTTGAAAAAGGAAAACAAGCATCTTCATCATCTTTTTTTCCTCTTTTTTCTGCCTTATGAAAAAGGTGCTAACCTAACTTGCTTTCCTTTTTTTCATCATCATCTTCAAACAAAAACTCTCTGAAACTTTTACTTCATCTACTTTTCTTTTCATCATCAGCTACTTCTTCTTTCCTTTGTATATTGTTCTGAACAGATTCTTCATCATTTACCTTCAACATATTTCTCATAGCATTTATACTTTTTTCTCTTGCCTTCTTAACCAAGTTTTGTCTCAAGTTTCCCTTTTATATCAACAAATTTTCAGAAGATGATTTTGATGATTTTTAGATGAAGAAAATAAAAAAGAATGAAGGAGAAGAGAAGCATGATAATGACGATATTGATGATCATGTTGATAATGATGGAAAAGGCAAGAAACTTGCAAGTTAATATCATGAGCCAGAGCAGAGTTTATCAGTCATGATTGCAATTCCATTGAACCTCAATGTTAACATGAAGTGAGAAAAGAAATCTGAAAAAAGAGAGGAAAAATTTGAGCAAAGAAAAGACGAAACTAATCTAAGGCTAAACTAGCTATGATAAAGTTGATGACGATGATAAAGGTAAAAGGATAAAACAGAGTTGATCCACATTCTCTTCATTTTTCTTCATCATAATCAGCAACATCATCTGAATCGGACTTCAAAAACAGAGATTTTCTCCTCTCTCAAATGGACACAAGACTGGCTTAGATATATTTTTCATGCTAAAATGAGTAGATGATTTTGATGGCCTCTCTCAGTTATCGTTCACAGGGAATCTTTTCAGTTTCATTTTCATCTTGAAAGACAATAACAAAAACTGAATGTTATACTGATATAAAATTGTATTATATAGACTTTAGGACAGATAACAGTTCAACTCAATCTTGAGTTACGTTTCTTCTTCAGCATCTTCCTTCTCACCATCATCAGCATTGCTATCTTCTTTTTCATCCTCGAAATCGTCTTTATACTGCAAGAAGATGAAGATATTCCCGCCCAGGGAAATCCGAGAAAATCCTTTTGTTTGTCTCCTCTAGGGATATATCACAGATCTGTCTCTCTCTCTCCAACCTGAATCACAAGAAAAAGAAAAAAGTGAGTTTAGTGAAAAGAAAGGAAAAGATGAGAAAGAAAGAGATAGTTAAAAGGGAAAGAATGAAGGAGTGAAAAGGGATTCAGAAGATGAAGATGACAAAGAGATTTTGATACCAAGTCCGTTGTTGGATTCAAATTCACCTACAAAACGTTCTTCCCTTGAGGATTTAGGTTTTCAATATTTACAGTAGACTTTATAATGCATTGTATATTCCGTTATTTTTGTTTTTTTTGTCTCTTCTTCATCCTTCTCATCATCAAAATCATCCTTTGCCTTCCTTGTCGTCATTTTTTTCTTCTCACTTCTCTTCTCTTTCACATTATTTATCAAGGCATATTTTGTTTTCATCCTTTTCGAGCTTCATTTTGATTCTTTCAAAATCTTACGAGAATCTTGAAGAATGTCGAAAAGGCAACCAACCATTAATTCTTCATCCTTCTTTATCTTCATCTTCTTTCTTTTTCTCTTTTCCATCCTTTACCTGGCTTACAGATTTTTACCTCATCATTGTTCATCTTCAATATCTTTTCAACATCAAGATACGTCATGGTTACTTTAAACTGAAAATATTTAATCTCGAGATTTATCTTCATCATCATTATCTTTTTTGCATCTTCTACTTGTTTTCATCATCATTTAAATGATGATAATGATCATAAATCATTAAATCATTAAATAATATTGATGATGATAGCTTCATGAGAATGTTGAATCAAGATTATAACATGGCAAAGTATAATTCAAGAGTTGCTTTGACTATTTAATTATCACAATTTTAGAGTCAATTGCAGTTTCTCTTCCGTTCCTAGATTAGTTGGTAATAAACTTGTCCACATGTTTGACAGGAAAAATATGAACAAGGAAATTTCAAGTTATCAGAAGCTACTTTCATTGTTCAGGATGAAGATGACAAAAATAAAAACCATTAATAAAAACAATCGATTTTCACTTGTTTTTTATCTTTGTTTTCATTCTCAATTGACAATTCATTTTTCATGATATATTTATCTGATGAGTTCATAAGAAGAGAGAGAGAGAGAGAGAGAGAGAGAGAGAGAGAGAAAAGAAGAATATAAAAGTCACAATAAAATGAATGTCATTTTAGTTGACTGATGGAAGTATCAACAAGGAAAAATACGACTAGATTAATGACATTTAAATCATCTAAAGGAACCAGAAAAAATATATCATGAGTAATTTGAGTTGAGTGAAAATCAAAAGGTCAACTGAAAGAAACAAATGAAAAATTTAAAAATTTACCACTAAAAATCGACAGTCATGGATGAATTTTCGTCGTCGTAATATAACTAGATAGTAAATGGGCCAATAATTGAGTCCTAACTCAATGGTCTTTGTAAATATTATGATTCTAAGTGCGCCCAAATCAGTCAAGTTTTCAAGCCATTGAAAATAATTGATATGCAAATATAAAATAAACGTTTCAAAATCTGTAAAAAGAGGGAGAAGAAAATCGTCATTACATATTTGGGTAATACTAATCATTGTGAAATGAAAGTTATCCCATTCTGAATGGGAAAGGGAAGAATCTTGAGACAAAATTACAAAATTGAAGGTAAAAAGGGCAAAAGCCACACACAAACACATACAAAAACATGGATAAAAGCAACACCTTAAAGCCAATTTAACCGTTCCTTTGAGTTAAACTAATACTCTCTACTGTTGACAATTTATCCATTCAAAATATAATAATCATTATGACCAGAAAGAGAAGCAGCAAAAATATTAACAATTGTCGAGTATTATGTATATTACATAGTTGATTGAATAGAAAGGACAGAAAAGGAGAGAGAGAGAGAGAAGCTGAAAGTAACAATGAACATGTACAAAAAAATAGACAGGCAAAAAAAGAGAAAGAATGAGAAGAAAAGAGAATAATATTAACCACACTGGTAATAATAATAGCGGATAAGATTAAGAAGGTAGTGAGCAAAATAAATGTCAATGGGTGCTATTGATGTTGTTGTTGGTGTCAATTGTAAGTTAGTAACCAAAGCAATCATCACTGACAGGAGAAGAAAGGGAAGAGATGATTTTCTTATTCGCATTATATTATTATTTTCTTCTTCTTCTTCTTCTTCTTTTTGAGCTTTAACTTGGTATTTTTCTGAAAAATGTTTGTGTTGTAAGATGAAGGTTTATGCGTATGTTTTTGTGTGGATGTGTGTATGCATATAAATATGTTATATTGTAACACTATAATCGATATACACCTATACACCTTTGTCGGCTTTTATCTGAAGAAAAAGAAAAATGATGAAGTTGAGTAAAATAGGCCAATACCTTTTGTATAATCTGCTGTCTTGTATAATGTAAAGAGGGAGAGAGAGAGAGAGAGAAGGAGGGAAGGGAGGAAGAAGTGGCCTTAGGGTCGGAAAAGGTAAGGAGTCCCATCAACTTAACTCCTTGAGAGTCTTTTGACCATCTTCTTGTTTTCCATCGTCATCAGCTTTTTTAGCGTCTTTTCCCTTTACTTGTTCGCTTGTTTTATTTTGCTTAGCTTTTCCTGATGGTTTAACAAAAGACGGATTTAGGTTCCTTTTTGTTTCCACTTTGTTGAGAGTTAACAACGCTCAGGGCGGATTGAGGAGACGCAAGAGGAGGAGGAGGAGGTCGAGGAGGGAAGGATAAACTGACGCTTAAGCCACTTGAATATGAAAGTTGTTGGTTAAACTGGACATAACCTTGAAATGATCCAAGCCAAAACGATGATTCTTGTTTTCACCTCTAAAAGAACAAGAGAAATTGGGGAAAATTAATATGAATGAATCTTTTTTAGATTTTTTTCAAGCAAAAATGTTTGAATATGAAGCATGTTAGAGGTTTAGGTTCGCTTTTTTTGTCAAAATAATGTATATACATTGATATTGATCATCATGAGATTATATATTTTTTCAAACTATAAGCTTGTAAATTGAATAGATTGTAGTATGTGTAGTATACCATGCAGAATGACGAGTAATTTATCTTATATGCATAATTTATATCAAGAAAAATGATGCTAGATCTTGAATTTACAGAAGGTTGGAAGGAATGTGAACAAGTTGGAAATTCATGGAAAAATAAGCTAAAATAAACTATGAATAGACAATATTTTACTTTTAAAAAATAGCTAAGGAAAACGGAGAAGAATGATTTTTAAATTACAATAAATTCAATATTCACCTCATCTTACTCGTGTCTATCTTCAAAATCAAATGTTAATTGAATTGTCAATTTTGAAATGTATAATTTCATATCATCCAGAATTAACTTAATAGCGCTTCACTCCTGTTTACTGGTATCTGAAATGAAAAACAGGTAGGTTAAAGTTTAAAGTAAACTGAATATCGTCTAATTGTAGTCATGTAAGTAATTTTATGTTTGAAGTATGGGCTAAGTGTTACATTTGTAGATTTAAACTTCAATTTAAAGGCCAATTATTGATGAAATAATTTGCAAAATAGCGGATTTATTGTTGGTTAAACAGGCAATTTGATTGTGAACCTTTTCATGTTACCATAAAGAGGGTAACAACAGAGGAAATTAAAAGGCTAACAATCGATAAGTTTACCTTCATATGGTTAAATAACTTCTTAAAAACTTACTAACTCGATTGCAGCGAGTATTTACCATAGGAAAAAAATATGCATACACAATGTATTGGACACACATACATAAAGAAAGAGAGAACAAAAGAGAAGCTTAAAGCCATTTTACAGCCACCAAAAATCATAATAGGTACAACAATCTTTAGCTTTCATCTTTTAACATCGAACTGTAACCAGGTAAGGTTCACTGGATTTGAATTGAGTACCTTTGACTGTTGCCTATTTCACTGTTGAAGTGAAAATAAAATTGATTGCATTTAACTATCAATGGCTTACGCTTTATGCTGAGTCTCTTTCTCCATTTCTTTTTCGTCATTTTTTTTATTTGTTTCTTTCAAATTCACCAAAATTTGAACCACAATAAAGTATATAAATACATAAGAGTTGAAAAGAGCCAATTGACCTTTTCAAAAGATTGGGAGGAAGAGGCAAAAGTGAAAGAGCAAAAGAAGGAAAGAGAGAAAAAAAGAAAGGCAAAAGAGTAAAAAGCAAATGTAACAAAAAAGACTTACCGTCTTTATATTATCAACCATGTTATCTTTAAGGCCATGTTATCGATATAACTATTGACACTTATTAGGTGACAATAACTGTGTGTGTGTGTGTCTATGTATACTAATAGCCTAGAGGCAGATGAAGAAAAGAAAAATTATAAAAAAAGAAAATGTTCTCCAAATTTCCCGCTGATGTGACATAATCGTTTACTTACGCACTTCTGTGTTGCCATTATCGCCATTATGTTTAACATTATTGTTGTTATTATGTTCATTTGGACATTATTATTTAAACATTTATCATTCTATCGATTCACAATTATTTCAAAAATAAGTAAATAGCTGTAAACAGTTTAAATTGTAAGTAAAGAAAATTAAAACTAACAATCAAAAAATGCTTTAACCTTTGATCAAAAAAAAGCTAACAATGTAAGAATGAAAGAATTTCGTACTAAAGATACTGATACTAATGTGAGTTATTGATACCGATACCGATACATCTTTATTTAGTTAAGTTAAGCTTATAATGAGTGTTATTATTGAAAATCATGAATTTCGCTGCCCTACGAATAGTGTAAATAAGCTATTTCTAGCGAGGTGCATTTTCTCAATGGTGATTGTAAATTGTTGTGCATTTATTTTACGTTAAATGGGTTATTTTATTGTAGGTGAGAATTGTTGATTTGATTACTTAATAATAATATACTAAAGACAAAACAAGTCACCACATAATGATTACCTTGTCTGTTATATGTTAACAGTAAACTTTGGTTAACAGTTATTCATAATGACTACTTTTAGGCTTACCAAACTCATCGGCTGATTATAATGGTAAGTATTTATTTTTTGCTGTTTTTAAGAGACTCGAAAAGTTGGCCCACCTCTAATTAACTTGACATGAAACTTGGACCTTTTGTTTACTGTTCAGTTAGTTAGCTTAATATAAGGTGTGTCTACTCATGATAAGTAAATGACCAGGTAAACGCAGTATAATATGTTAAGCAGATTTTTACTGCCCCAAAGATTTTTATTTTTGTTTCATTCGCCGTGTTTTTTATGCTTAATCCGTATTTTTCTTTTCTCTTTCAGCATTTATCATTTCCATAATCTCTGTATCCAAATGGTGATTACTGGATGATATCTAGATGGTGATGATGATGATGATAGACATAATTGGATTATTATAGCTGTTATACATTTATACCGTCTTTAACCATGGTCATATTGGTATCAACTTACATGGTAAGCTTTGGTGTTATTTCAATTGGATTTTGTTATTCTTTTATTTCTTTCATGTTGCAAAGTGTTTGAGGAAATATCATTCTTTTTATTAGAGTTATGATGTTTATATAGCTTTCAAAGTTGTTGATTATTCTTGTTTCCATTCTTTCACTCATTTCTTTGCTTTCTTTTCTTGTTTACTTAAAATATCCAGTGACACTTAAAGGACGCCGAACAAGGAGAAGAAAGATGCTGAAGAGGTTAACCAGGGATAAATAATTTATGTATTATATAAACAATCTTGAACTGAGCTCGAGGGTTTTTCATTTGGATTTACACTTCGTTTTTGAGGTGGTTTTTCACTGATAATAGTGACTATATAAATATAACGACTACTCTTGAGGGAATTCCTTTTTATGTTGATACAACACTTTGTTGTTGTGATACAATTGGTCTTAAGAAAATTAATGTACAAGGAGATTGAGAATAGGACAAGATGATTGTTATAAACGTATCAGTATCACCTTCATATCATTCGATATCATTGTAAATGTTGTTTCAATTGTTTGATGAAGTACAAGTTGAGAGGAAAGAAATTTATTAAACATTTCAGCATATAATTGATTTGTGTTTGGGTTTATTTGCTGTTCATTGATTGTTAACTAATCAAATTAACACTCAATTTTATAAATTATTTCTATTTTTGCAATCTTTCATATTTACATAATTTTAAATTCTAAATTTCATTTGCCATTTCAGTGAGTGGTCGAAGTATTCAAATGCATCTGAGATGAAGTCACTAAACCATTTACTAATAGCTCCATGATTGAGATGGTCGGATTGAATGGAATCTAGGATAAGATTAATGTCTGGTTGTGATCAAAGTTGATTCAATCACAACTGAATGTGATATTATGAGACTGGATCCAAACATATTGATATTCAAGAGGAAAGCAAAACAACGACACAATATTAACGCAGGGCAATTTTTCCCTTTCCTATGTCAATTGGTCTTTGCTCACTTGACCTTAACCCTGTTTCATTGACTTGATAAGTTAAAGAACCTGCCAAGAAGAAGATAATGATGATAAGTTGGCGATACCGGGTTAGAGGAATGGATATTAAAGGAAAAACGATGCAGAAGAGATCGCAAGCTAACAAAGTGACAGTTATTTTTCAGATCATCTTTATCATTTGTTACAAAAAGTACAAAAATCAGGAGAGAGAGAGAGAGAGAAATACCAAGAAAAAAGTGATGATTATGGCGAGGGAAGACGAGAAGAAATATCTGAGTAACTCCCCTTTTCAATCGGTCAATGTCTTTCTTTCCTCAAACTGGACTACATACAAAAGTCCATCCTCACAAGTAAATCCTCTCAGGCCCATAATTATCTTCTAATTCTCTTACAATTTTCTTTAGCTAAACTTACTTTTTTTCTTTCTCTTTTCAGTTCATCATCATCTTGTTGTTGCAGTTTCTGGACAAAAGGTTGAATCTAACTTTACCCTACTCTACTCACTCAGACCCATTTACTCACACTAGTGGGATGTGAATATACCTTTCAAAGTGAAATATTCACCTCCACTCAGGGGGTAACTCAAGATCCCAGGGCAACAACCAAGGTCACACAATACAAGACAATGTTAATAATAATACAACATACTAAAGCCCTGAGATGTTGAGACAGCGAAAACATGAAATAAATACAAAACTCCTGAATAAATGTATTTATACATGTACATCTATCTATCTTTGTACATCTCTACACCTCCCACTTCATCTTTTTTTACCTTTACTGAAAGATCATCTATCTATCTTTCCATCTCTTCTCTTTCTCATTCACCATCTCTTGCTAATTTTGTTGTTTGCAGTTTAAATATAATCAACATTAACCCATTGAGGACAAAAGGCTAAGCACAGGAAATTTTTCACTAAGAGATTTTGTCAGTTAACAAAATGCCCAATTATTAATGTCAATGCAAGTTTATGCAAATGCTAATTATCTGTATGATCAATAAGGTACATAACTTGCTCTATGAGTTACTCCAAATGAATGAAAATGTGAAACTTGAGCTGTTTCTCCAACTCTTAATTTATTCAAAGACATTATATTGCACTGTCAATCGATTAATGTTTTTTCAGCCAATTTTGATTGTCACTTTCAAGAATAATGGCGATCTATGCATGATACATTTGGATTGAATGATAAATCTCTTATGGAAGCTTCAATAATTAAATAAAATGTCAATACAAACCAATGCATTTTATTCAAGCTTACTCGTTTATTTTTAGTAAAAGTTGGCTTAGATAAATTTTTCAGTTTCATATTTCATTTTATCAAATTTCTTGACTTTACATGATTAAAGTCATTCGCAACGGATTTAACCTTTCAACCTAAAGAGTGATAATAAAAATAAGTGACCATTGGAAGTCAGATTTGGGAAAATCGGTTCTTTTTAGCAAATTAATCCATTGGAGAGTTGCGTAAAATTATAAAATGTAGATACAATTGAAGTTGAAACTTGTGATTGTTGACCTTTAATATACTAATGATACTAAAAAGAGTTACTGATAAATGGTGAAGAATCAAGCTGTAATAAAGGAATAAATGAAACAAGTTGAATGATGATGATGAAAGGAAAGATTTGGTGTCTTCTAATACATCACACAGAATCCCAAAAAAAACAAAAATATCAAATTGGACCAGCTATAAATTTTCATCTTTTTTCATTAGTTTTTCTTACTTCTTTTTTGACCAGTTGTAAAGTAAAATGAATCCACAGACTTGAGTTTCTCATTTTCAACTTTTTTTTCCTTCATCTTCTTCTCATGACATCCTCAGGCTTATATCATTGAGCTGTTGTTCCTATTTTACTTCATCTTCTTCTCGTTGATTTGAAAAATAGTTCAAGTTTAAACGAACTGAGCTCCACCAAAAAGGTTGAAAAAAAATCGTGATCTTGTATTTAGCTTCAGTCACAAGCTGAACAACGATACAGCTTTACTTGTACACTAAGAAAACTCTCAGCTGATAAATGACCTTTCTTTTCTATGCTTCATCATTTTCATCTTTATCTTCATCTCCTGCTTCTTCTTCACCATCATCATCTTGACTCCCTCCTTTTGGCCTTTCCTCCTTACCACTATGAATCTTTTAGTTTCTCTCTTATCTTATTTTTCCCTCTTCCTTCTATTTCTTTTTATTTTTCTCTTCCTTCAACTTCATGTTTCTTGCTACCTTCAACCAAATCTTCATCATCACCATCATCAACAACAACAAAAACAGCAACATCTTAAAGAGGCCTCAGTGGCTCACAAAAAAAAGTTATTTTTCACAGTGAGTTTCGCCTCATAAGACATTTTTCTTACCTATACATTTGCTTGTTTTACTTCATCTTCATCATCATCATCTTTTCACTCTTGTCTTCCCTTTAAGCTAGAAAAATACACGGAGGATGAATGTAAGTGTGTGTGTGTGTGCACATATCCTCCTCAACATGATGAATTTACCCAATTGACCAAGCCTTCTTGGTTAGATATCATTAAAAAAAAGACAACGATGATGAAGGTGAAGGTGAGTAAAAAAGGGCAAAACAAGATGAAGATAGTAATAGTAGATCAAATTGGCAGTATATTAGTACGCATAGTAATGGTACCCGTGGCTAAGTTGACTTGAACAAAAATCAGGTTCACTCGTTTAACCCTTGTTGTCTCATCAGTTAGCCATTGTATCAGTTTTTATCAGCCATTTATGCTCTTCACCAGTCAAAAAGTCAATGATGTCTAAAGATCCCAAAATAAGATAGCCTCATTCAAATCATCATAGATCTCTGTGTGTGAGTAAGTATCATTTGTGAGTTTTTCTTGTTATCATCTTGTCTTGCTCTATTTTCAATCTTCTCACTCTATCTTCGTCTTCTTCTCTGTCTTCTTTTTCGTCCTCTCGTGATAACATCGTGTTGGCTTTACAAGTTAATACATCGTCTTTGGCGCCCATCATTATACTTGTTTCCTTCCTTCATCATCTTCAAGGCTTTTCTATCTCTTCATCTGGATATCGCTTTCCTTACTTGTACTTTTTGTTTCCATCTTTCTTGTCATCATCGTCATTATCATCATCATTTACGTGGTCAAGAAACGCTTCATTTGTACCTATAAGATAAAAATAATATTTGCATTAATAATATACATTTAACAAAAAAAAGGTCGACTTTAAGTTGACAGTTGGCCAAAATATTAACATTTTTCAAGTTAATGAGCACACTTCAAGTCAGATAATACTTTGAAATAGCTATTTGACTCAAGTTACAATTTAACGCACCTTTCAACATTAACTGTATGATATTTTGGTCAACAATTTACACAAGTAAAATTATTGCACTAATGCTAAGCCCTATTTTGATTATCATATCATCATTAAACTTGATTTTGTCAAACATTTATCCTCTTAGCATGATCCTATCTTTTCAAAATCATCAGATTATAAGAGAGATTAACGATCAACAGTTAAACGTTAACGTGTTCAACTGAAAACATCAACTGTGTGATCTGTTGATGGGTCCAAAACACCAGGAAATGTTGATACAACTTGCCAGGTTGATGGTATTGATGTGACTTTCATTAGGTTGAAGAGTAGCAAGGTGAACAAAAAAATGATAAGAGTTACACCTTAATTGCTGTTAGCGTCAAGGAAGAAAAAAGATGATTGTGATGATGAAATAAAATGTTGTTGACATTCATTTGTTCCCAGCTTGATTCATTTAATCTAATCTTCATACACATGTATCTCTTATTTCATGTAACAAGCAATCTGATGAATGCAGTTTACTCCAATTGATGTTACACAGTTTTTTGCACTTCTCTTCATCTTTCCCTTTCTCTCTAAACCTGCTGGGAGTAAATTTGGAGTTATTGTAACTATTCAATGATTTTTTTAAGCCGGTTTTGCCTTGATTATAAAACCTTCCTCACTCCCTCTCCAAGTGAGGCTTCTTCCTTCCTTCATCTTCATCATTTTCATCCATTTATCTTCAACATCATATTTTGTATCTTCTTATTTCTTCTCTTGTTCATCTTTAACCATTTAGTCTTTCTTCCAATGTCTGTCTGTCTCTCTGGCTATCCATCTTTTTCCTCATCATCATCATCCTTCTTTAGTTCAAAAGTGTACCGGAAATTGCATTTCTTTCGAACTCGATCGTGCGCTCAATTCTGCTCCACTTCAATTGTTTTCAACCCATTTTCATTTCATCAATCCATCTCTGTCTTTAAATCTTTATTTTCTTAAAATTGTTTCTTTTCCTCTTTTTTAACCATCTTTTTCATCATTTTCAGCTTCTTCGTCGCTCTTTGCTTTTGCTGTTTTTTTCTGCTTTTCAACGATTCTTTTCTTCAAACGCCATTCCATGTGATTCAATTTTAAAGCTGACCAACTAACGAAATCCAGTCCATGCTTTAAAGACAACCATTTATTGTTGTTTCCATTGATTATGATGATAATGATGGCCAATAGATTGCTTCTTGTTAAGCTGATTCAAGCTCATTGTTTCCATCAAATTTGTATCCAATGTAATAATGGTGAATAATAATAATAACTAGTAATTTAGTCTATTTTGATATCCTGCTGGTTTAAAAGGAAAAGAATAGAGAAAGGTAAAGTAACAACAAAAAATATGCAAATTAGTGTTAAGATTATTATTTTCATCGGTCATAAGAACTGAGTTAGGAAATTGGCGTGTAAAGTAGATCTGAAATGAGAAGTGAAAGAAATTGAAACAACAAAAAATAATGAATAATAATGATGATATAATGTTGAAAGTAAAAAAGGTTAAATTATTGAATATGTATGGGCAAGATTATGCAAGTTCAATTGGGATATCAGATTATAGCCATTATTTTTGCTCAATCAAAAGTTTTTTTCCATTCTCACCATTTAATCATAAAGACAAAATAGCATTAAAAAACGTCAAAATTATTCAATTATCGTCTTAAAGTTGAGTATTTTTTCAGATTTACATTAACATTGAAATATGCACATCAATTTTGACTTATCAAAAGGCAGTTGCAAATCATTCATTTAGCTAAATATAAATGAATATCAATGATAAACCTTTTGATTGAATGCTTTAGTGGTGGTAATAATGATCAAATGTAACACATTGGTAAAAAAAATATCTATGTATCAGTTTCATGCAATGATACTTTTACGTGAAACAAAAATAAACATTGTTGGTAATACTGAAAACCAACGAAAGTGAATGAAAAACAAGAGCTGAAAGATTAAATGTTATTAACTGTCATTAACCTTGAGAGTGTAATCATTAGTCATAGGAAGATGGAAACATTTGTCTTTAAGCTAATCCTACTACTTGCTTAATCTGATCTCTATAATCTTCTCACCAGACAAAGTAAAGTACATTAATCAAATAGCATTTTGAATAAAGTCAAGTTTAACAAACGATATTTACATTAGCAAGTGTTACAAATCATTTTGGGTTCATTTGATTGAGTAACGTTAGATGTGAGGGAATTTGCGAGTGAAAGTAAAAATGTTTGGCAATAAAGGGATAAATGAACAAAGCATGTGAATGAAGGAGTTAGAAAGAGACGTAAATGAGTCTAAGGTTCTGGACTGATGAGCTGCAATCGAAGTTAAACCTCTTCAAGTGAGGTATTGACAGGATGCAAAAAAGGGAAGATAAGGAGGATAAAAGGAAAAGTTGGTGGAGAGTCGAGAGAGAGTGGAGATAAATAAATAGGTAGTGGGTGAGAAATGTTTTGTTAGAGAAAGAGATGAGGGAGAAGGTGAATAATGTCGGTGAAAGGGATAGTAAATTCAGATTGTTTGGTTGGTTGGTTAGATAATCGTGAAAAGTGGCTGGAATATGGATTTGACATGTATGTGAAATGCTTACGGACGCCTTGATCACGATCTTATCCAATGTCAGTCCTACAAACACAGAAGATAAAGTCAGCCTGCGAATGTAAATGAAAGAGAAAGGTTTGGTTAAAGGTTAGATGTTGGAAATATGAGAATGGAATTAGAAAGGAGAGGGAAAAAAGGGAAACATTTTCAACATGAAATACATTCTTGATGTGTACATTCAAATAGTTACATACAAGGTTAAATCATCTTTGATGGAAAAGTTAAGGAAGTGGCCCAAGAGAGAATCTAATCATTTGATTTGTTTCTTCTTTCTTTTATTGTTCATCTTTCATCGGCAGTCAAATCAAACTGACCACCTTCCGAGTTATCATCGTCAATTCCTTGTCAACAGCAAATTTTCTAGAGGTGAATAGAAAAAATTATCAAATTTGTTATGCCCAGAACACGAGTCTAATCATCTTTTTTTCACTTCAGTTTTTGCGTTCCTTTGATCCTAAAACTTCATGGCTAATCATCCATTTCCAGGTTCATCTATGTGTTGTTGGAGGATTTCTGGAGGAAAAAATAGAAATAAAAATTTTCATCAGTAAAACCACAATTGAAAACTCATTTGGTTTCAACTTGAGCCCACCTGAAACAGTTTAACTGCAATTAGTCAGCTCTCATTAAGTGGTATAAATTTTTAAGTAATTGTCATGAATGAGATACAATTTACAAACAAAATAATTTTAAATGTAAGAAACTTAATATACTTTGTAAATGACTATGATGACGAGATTAATAAAAAAGGAAATAATTGAGGTAAATGATGATAGAGGAATAGAATGGAATAACGCACTTAATTGTGATTCTTATTCACGTGCAAGCAAATTTACTTTGCTTGAATGTTCCTTCACCATCCATTCACCGGCCATAATTATGACCTATTTTAAAGTTAATTATTGAAAATAACGTTCAAAAGCTGCGTAAGTTTTGAAACGATTCATCACTACTCAGGTTGGATTCGACCTCGTAAATGTACTTTGTCATATTCCTTATCCTTGTATGAAGATCCCATGGACAAAAATGATCAGAATTTGCAAGTTCTGTTACTCTTGACCTAAAGTATGCAAAAAATATGGAGATAGCACAATGATATACAAATGATTAGCTAATAGCAAATTTATACCACATGAATAAATGATTAGAATGAAATTTTTACGGCCATAATACGAAATTATGTTAACTGTGTCCAATCCGATTTAATAGTGGGCAGCAATAAATATTATCTCGCCAGTTTCATCAAGATTTCAAATCTGCTAAGCATTTTGATATTCATTGAAAAGGAAAAATATTTCTGAAATAAAAAAGACTGATTGATTAAGGGAAGATAAAAGGAGGAAAAATATTAGGAAATAAGAACATAAAGAATAAAGATTGAAGAATGATCTAGATCGATGAATTTAACTTACCTTGACAATAAACTTCTCTATCCCCTTTCAATCTCTTGAGAATCTTTTCATAGTCTACCTTAATTCCTCGAGCTTGGGCATAGTAGGACATTAGTAGGTTTCCGATTGATAGACAGACAGATAGACAGTGCCAAATTAGACGAGATGAACAAGAGAAGGCAAAAATAAAGGCTACTCAATTCTTTTTTGTTTCTTCCTATTCATTTTCTCCCACTTTATCTACCTAATATTATTCCCTTTTCTTTCAAAGCTTTGGCCTTTTTTTGCGAACAAAGTTGATGAATTTTCCTACAGCAAACACATCACTCAGTCTTCCATCTGAAACGATTCTTGGACATGAAGACATTGGGAGATCTGGAAGTCAATAAATTGTATGGAGAAAGAAACAAAATGACAGTATCAAACTATACGATCAGATTGACATTGAAGTTGGTTCACAGAAAGATAGTTCAACAGTTTATATCTTGGGTGACTTAAGCATGTTAAAGGAAGGATAAAACAGAAGCTTACCATTGACATCAGCTGAATATCAGGTTTGAAATAAAGTGTATGCAACTTAATTCTGGTCCTTGCTTCAGAGTAAACCATTCGATATCGAAAAACTTTTGAAAAATCATGTAACACAGCTGTGAAGAAAGAGACTGGTAATTACCAAAGATGGACCAATCTTCTGATTGAAATATTGTTAATCAGCTATGAAAATTAACACTGATTTTAATGGAAATATTTATCATCGACCTGAAGGAGTAAAATAAGTTAAGGAAAACAATTGAATTCAATTAATGAAGATAAAAATAATAGTCCAAAGGTTACATACAACTACAGTAAACACTTGTCTTTACAAAGCAAACGTTACCCAGTTATGGCTCATCTTAAGTTTCATTGCATAATATAACGGCTCTCAAAGCTTTTTTAGCTTAGCCGTTTTGAATGCAGAATGTCTTAGTCATAGTGATTAACTCGACATACTAATTAATTATAGCTTGATTATATAAGAAGTAGTCGTGTCTGAATCTTATTTTTGTCCATATTTTTCTAATTGACCGGAATCAATCTGATTTTTTTCTTTATGATGAATTAGTGCAAAGTAAACTTTAAATACAATCCCTTTTGAAAGCCCGCCGAGTCTTGTTATCTTTCCCCTTCAATCGTTAAATTGATTGTTTACTATTTTTTGTTTACTATTTTTCATTGTGAGTTATATGTTTATTGTACCATTTGAAGAGACATTTCAATGAATTAGTTATATATTTTAATGTTGTTGATTGGTTTTTTTTATTTTGATGCTTGCCTAGAATGGATTTTGATTATGGATCCATTGAATGTAAAGTAATCAATCAAGCCAGTCTGTCAATCACTCATTCATTATATCTATCCTGAATGAAAAGGTATACAAAAAGGGCCATGGAGAAAACTTTTCTTTACACTATTTTATTTCGTTGCTATTTAAGAATCGATATTTTTTAACTGTTTGTGTTGGTTTTCTGAATCTATGGATCATTCTTCACGCAAAACTCAGTTTTTTCAATCCGAAACAAATTTGCAATCTTTTCCAGCAGATTTGACAAAGATTGCTATTTTAGTAATGGTAGACTTGATGATATTTAACTTGATGAATCTCAAGATACTGAAAGTTTTTTTTGGCCTTCACTGTATTTACAATATTGTTTTCTTTCGCCAAAGGGTTAACCCAATTGGTTTAAGTTATTGCACAAGTGAAGTCAAATTTATTGCTTACCATTGGAATGTTTCCGGTGATCAAATTTCAACCTTTATCTCCAATTATTGATTGGAAGTTTTATTACAATAATTTAACTGTTCTTTTCTTATTTGGTTCTAGGTTATTTCATGATCTGACCATTTTACCATCTAATATCTCTTCATTTCCACTACAATGCAGATTGGATGATGGACTGACCAACTGTGAACTCTCAAAGCAACTATGTGACCCTAAAACTATCTTGTCTTCTTGACCAAAATCTGATGATATGGTAATCTGATGAAGATGAAATTAATCGCTCTCGACCTTTACCATTTTTCCTTCTAATCTTCTTTCTCTCTGAATCTTTTTTCAACTCATTTTCCTTTTCTTTAACCTATCCATCCCCCAAACTCACTCGTTATATCAATTCCTTTTTACTGTTATTCTATCCAACTCACTTAGAGCTTGGAGTGCCATTTAATATTGCCAGTTATTCGCTTTTTTACTCACATCATTGCTCATATTACAGATCTAAGAGAAGGGGAATCTATCTATCAAATAGATGCTCATATTTATTTGAATCATATTGATCCGCTTAACATTCAAGTTAATTTTGATAAGCTTTGACATCTTCTGTCTCATTTTCTCAAATCTGATTAAAAAGGTTTCTATTTACTTGTCTTTCCTGTTTCTATTTTTCTGTTCTCACAACTTTGATTTTGCCTTTTTTTCAGATTACTCAAGTATCAAGAATGTCGACAGAACTAAGGTAAAAATATCAATTCTGGTACCAATGATTATTTGACCATGTTAGCTACGAGTCACATTTAGATGAAAATGAGAAAACTTTGCAAGCCTCTTTTTTATTCCGATAACAATTTATATCATATTTCAGTTCATAAGCCACTTCAAATGATAAAAGGATCGATAAAATGTATTATTTTACTAGCTTTTTCAATATCAAAAAATGTTTCTAAAAAAATAATCAAAAAACATTCGAAAAATGTCCTTTTATAAAGTTATCTTCTCTTCAATTCTTATGAAAAGTTGCCTTATATAATTGAAACTACGAGACTGGGCAAAGCTAAGCAACGTTACTTTGAATATAATTTATCAGAACATGGTTTTCCACAACAATTTATGTTGTTAGTGTTTTATTTCAAAAATTAATCTTTGGACCTTAGCTCTTCTAATCACTGAGCTTCTTTGTTCAAAATACTTGCCTGTTTTCGATAGAAAAAGTGCTTTACTTTCTCTGCTAATTCATACATTTTCAGCCCTTAATAAATCTGCTAAAGGTTATATTACAATGAATTATGGTCAAATTAGAGTTTATCTGTTTAGATAAAACCATCGATTTGATCTAAATTCTATAAATCTAATTGGGGAAAAATCCCTAGAAATCTAATTGATAGTATAGAGTATTATCTCTTGAAATTTGCTAGCTACAACAAGGTGAAAAATATTGAATAAAAAAGCTAGAAATTTTAATGTTTAAAGGTTAAAGTAAACCCAATTTATTTGAAATGATTGCTCATTATACTTTGTTGACAAAAATTATGGATTGGTGGTAAAACATGATGAAAAAACGATGAAATTGATGACGTGACTTTGATGGACATAAATGATTACTATTTCAAATTAATAACTCTTTTAATCCTACGTATCATCACATCAACGAAATTGTTATCCTGTAAGAAAAGAAGAAAGAGGAAATAATTAAGATTCCACGACAAAAAAAAGGAAAGTATTCTAAAAAATAAACCATAAATCTATGCATACCTTAATAGAGTTTTGAATTTTTGAGAAAAATAAATCTGTCGCGATTCCAGCCGATTCCGCTTTCAGTTTGTTCACTTCAACTCGCTGTTCTGGGCTAACTTCCAATGTGTTGAAGAAAAGGTTAAGATGTTGCCAGACTAAATAGAGACAAGCTTCTATCATCGGGACAAGTTCTTTAGAGCTCGGGCATTTTTCAACATTCTCATCGATAATTAGAACCAGCGAGCCTAAAGTTGGTGGATCAACATTAGCAAACGATATACGATAATTCCAAGTTGGAGATAAAATGGTGGTCAATTCTGAAAAGAAGATTAGAAAGTTTTGTTTCAATAAAAGTGCATTTCTTGATAAAAACTGTCGATATTGCTAAAATTTCTTACCGTTGTGAGAACAAAGTTTAACATAACCTATGAGAATGTTGGTTACTATTTTAATTTCACTGGGATCGATAACTCCTAGATAACTATTTAAAAGACACATGAAGGATCGCTGAAGTGGCTTGTTAACAAAATGAATAAGTTTTGCTAATAATCCAGTGATCAAAGTCAAGATAGTTGTACGTTCGAAGCTGTTTTTTATAGTAGGTGCCAATCGAATTATATCACAGAGTACGGATGAACGGGCATTCAAAAATTGCGAGAACTAAGAATAATAAAAAAATAATTAGTCATTAATTGTGAATATTACATCAGCTTGAATAAAGAAATGCTTACATTCTCGAAAGATTGGCGATCGTTGGTTGTACATAGTATCATCATTAACCGCAAAACAGAAACAAACATTTTGTAACATATATCACTCTGGTTAATAAGGAAAGGAAACATTTCAAAAGATTCGAGAGTTGATAGAGTTTCAATAACACCAGCATGTGTAACGATACGTACTCCAGTCGCGTCAGTACAAATTTTCATCAATAAAGCCTAGAATATTAAAAAAGGTTAAAAAGATATAAGTTAAAACTCAGAGTTATTCTTGAATTAAAATTAAATGAGATGATTAGAATGTTTACTAACCATTTTAGAGTCAAAAGCATAAAAAGCTTTACAATGGACGTCAAATTTATGGCCGAGAATTTCTTTGTCATCATTGATTAAACTATCAACAAGTAATTTCAATGTGCCATCATTTGAAAGATCTCGAGCCCAAGTTAATTCACTTTCACTGAGAATGGACATGGCAAGAACTTTAGTAACTTCATGACCAGCTAAAATGTCTTTACATAATTTTTTCAATAGACGAGAACCAATTTTGAGGTCATAAAGAAAGGCCGATGGGAGAAGGCGATAAAGGTGTAATAAGGTAGCGTAAAAGTTGACTCTAGCTCTTTTGTGTTGATTCCATAAAGATGTTGAAGTTGTCGATTCAAGTAGATTCATAATACCTCGAGCAACTCCACCAATTTGATTATTCATGGCCGCTTCGGTCTTGATAGTTGTTAGCGCTGCAGATGAAAGTAACATGACTGATGAAATTGGCGTAATTAAAGTGGCTACAGTTTCAGATGAAATAACTCTTGATAAAAGTTCTTGTAGTATTTCCATAAGAATACGAGGCTTAACGGGTTGGGGATAAATTTCCAGGCACTTGACGGAGATTACAGTTTCAACCAGTTCTCTCCAGCCTTCAAAGTAAAGATTATTATAATTGAGCTGCTCTTGTGAGGCATTGAGTGCCATGGCATATTGAAGAATCATTTGAATTTCGTTCTGGATCATGTTAGTTTGAACAACTCCAAGTTGCAATCCAACCATATTAACTTCAGAGAGCAATTTTTGGTGAAGAATTTTTATATCGACCACATTATCAGGAGGAGAACTGCATTCAGAGAAGGTTTTCCAGAGTTCATTAGAATCAAAAAATTCCCATTGAGACATTTCTGGATGTTGATGTTTGAAAATCATATCTGTAACAAGATCAACTAGTTTCTTGTCACCTTGTTCTCCAAGAATCTTTTTAATATACGAATCTCTATTAGATTTCAAGTTATTTTCAGCAGTAGTTTTCAATTCGATGGCCAGTATCCTCATAAACCAAGCAAACTCCGAAACATTTCTTCGGTTTAACCATTTTCCGGGTTTAGCTGTTCGTTGTTGTTGTAGATTATCCAAAAGATTATCAATCAATTCATAACTTGTACGCAGAAAGCGAAGAACATTTTCAGATACTTCAGCATCATTACAGAGAGTATAAATTATTTCCATACAAAGGGCTCTCTTTTTAGGATTACCGTCCTCTTCATCCAAAAGACCTTTTATCGCATGGAATGAATTAAAAGTTTGACCCAAAGTTCCAGGAAGACGTAAATTGCTTTTATTACGATCGAATCCTAAAATTCGATGAGAGAAACCATAAACTCCAGGAAGAGCATCTCTTTTGGCGCAAGCTAAAATGAATTTTAAGCATTCAATACATAATTCATCTTCACCGTCATCATCCAGGCAATCCACAAAACCGTGAATGAAATAATCTTCATGATGCTCACTGAATGGATGGATCTGCAGTAGCATTCTTTCTGAAATTTGATGATCTGATTGGACTAGATTTTGAAGTAATCGAAGACTTTCAATTTGAACTGGTATTGATGGAAGTGAAATTACCTTAATTAAGGTGGCAAGTCTATCTATATTTCCAGTTCGATGATTAACATTGGAAAAAAGTGAAGCAAGTGTGAGAAGCATGGCTGAAGGATATCCAGGAAGATTGTGTATGTTTCTGATGAAATCATCTTCTTTCAAGGCAACAAGGTTCAATAATTTTAATCCGTTAAGGATACACTGTTCATATAGATCAAAATTTTTATTCTGATCTGGTTCTACTCCTCCGCCAGACTCTGGACCAAACATGTAAACAATATCTTCAATCATCTCCATAATACAAGTGAATAGAGTATTTTCTTGAAGTATTTGCCACATTACAGAAAACGCGGCTTTCAGACCTGGGACATCTTTCATTGGATCAAATATTTCTAATATGTCACACAGAATGTAAAGAGAATTTCTCTTGATTGTCCAATTCTCTTCAGGTACTTTGTAAAATCGATGATTACATTTCAACAGAATTGAATTGATGATGAATTCAGTGCAGTCAAACATAGTAAATTGGTGAACAGGCTGGCGATTGTATCTAACATGCTTGATTAAAGAGTGAGTTGCTGATAGAAAAGCAATAGTAATTGGATATTCTTCGTTCCTTGGCTCAATATCTTCTACTTCTAATGCAATTCCACTCTGCCAACTGAGTTGACGACCAGTATTCGCAAAAGTTGAAGTGGCTATTTGAGATTTTGGAAGTATGATGTCCATTTTTATCCAAATTGTTAATGCAACAGAAGCGGTGGTATTGGCAAAACCAGCAATACAAGATAAAATTGCTGCTTTTAATTTTCTGGGAACAGGGCCCATGAGAAGACCAACTAGAGTTGGAATACATGAATATCGTTGATTTTCAGCGATTGATACACAACAATTTCGATCCTAAAATGATATGAAAAATCTTGCAAATTAATTATCGAGATTCTGAAGAAATGAAAAATATATTTACTTACGTTTTTAACTATATTTTCTAAAAGGTGTAGAATGGAGCACAAAATCTCTAGATCAAGTGGGGAAAGATTAACGGTTCCAAAGCTAGCCAAATATCTAGCTGATGATCCATAATTGCTATTAGAAGACATATTTTTATCGGAACCAAGTACACCAAGATAATTATGAAGGACAGAAAAAAATTGGTCCAATGAGAAGAGTGACGTTTGATTTATTCCAGGGTGTTTAAGAAGGTTATAAACATGAAATGGCGAGGTATTAGCAAATGAGGCAAATAAGTTGAGGATTGGGACATGAAGCACTTGAGGTAAAGATGAATCAACCATGGATCTGATAAATTTTCGGAATGCAATATATTTGGGAAGCAATCTGGACTCTTCCTGTGAAGTATTCCATATCTCACTAGAAAATCCAAAATTATCATGAGAGTAAACTTCAGCCATGAGATAAAGCAACTTTTCCAAATTTCGGGATAAATATCGCGGAGGTTGAATGTTCTCAGCCATGTGAACAGCAATAATACGACCACTTTCATCGCCTTTATCTCTAAGCTCTTTGATTTTGAGAGGGAATAGTGCGATGAAATCAGATAATGCGTTGTGTAGCCAGACAATATAATAACGTTCTTTATAAACATGGGGATTTTGAGCCAAAAGTCTAGTCATTGTTTCAAAAAGCTTCTTTTCTATTATATCTTCATACATTTTGTCCTCTTCACCTTCCAGAACGGTCATGCCTTCAGTCAGAAAAAGAGATAAAGTTTTGTAGGCAATGAGAAGGGCAAATTTTATAATCACTTGAAGTCCTTCAACACTGAATTTCGCTGTTTCCAAACATTTATGTATTTCATCGAAGAGAGTTTTATGCTTGGTGACAAGTGTTTTTGAAATGGCAGGATCATTTTCATCATATGTTCTCAACAAAGAGGTGTCCATTACGTAAAGTAACGACATAAGAAGAGTTGTCCCAATAGCATCCAAACAGCCATTCGAATCTAGCTCACATTTCTCTGAGATTATTCTCAAAAGATGCTTCAGTTCATCTTGACTAAGAGTTGATTGAGCAGCAAAGGAAAAAACGATCTGAGCATAAAGGTGTTTAATATCCTTTATGATGGTGTAAACATGTTTCTTATACTTTCCAGGTCCAAGAGCCTTGTTGATGAGAAGCTTGTCGTACTCACTGCTTACATCAAATTTTTCTAAATTTTCAAGACATTTTTGGATGATGTTGCCATTCTTGAGTTCACCAACAAATGTTTCGATAAATTTGAGCGCATTATCATCGTTTTGTGATGACATGAAGGCCCAAGTTCTTCCAGAAATTATATCAACCAAAAATTTCAAAGTAGACAATAATACTCGTTTGGAATCATAATACAATAAAACAGCTATTGGCCCTCGAGTCATACCAGGGTATCTTGTTTCATGTTCTGAACCCATGATCAACAGTTCAAGTGCTATAAGCTCATTCAGGTCGAACATATCTGACAGCAGAATGGCTTCATTCACGACCTTTTCAGGGATGATTTGCGTATTCTTTTTATCATCTTGAATGAAAGTAATTCCATCTTTGGCAGATTTTTGGACTGCTTCACGATGAGTAGGATTACGAGGCTGACATAGATAACAAATAAAAATATAAGAATGGCTCATGTGATAATATAATGAAGCATGGTGGCAATAATGAAAATACTTACCTCATTGGCGAGAAGTGACATCAGATCGGGCTTATGGCACTGTAAAAGCTGCTCCAATTCTTTGATTGATTCATCGGATTGATCTGTTCCGATTCTTGACACCACTGAATTTAGACGCTTCAAAGAACACCAGTAATTATCAGAGCCTTTGGAACAAAAGAAAAATTGTAAAATGTAAATGCCAACCATATAATTTGGAAATGAATTTACTTACCAGTGTGAACACTATGTTCTGATAAGTTCCTTAAAGGCATGATTAATTAAATTTCTTTGATTATTTGTTATTAAACAGACTAATAAACTATGATGAGTGAGCACAAAGAAATAATTTACCAGGTTGAGTAAACCAAAAACTAAGCGGCGGCGAACTGAAAGGGACCGTTACCATAATACAAACTGTTACCTTCTCTCTATTTGACACGTGTTTTGAAAATTTGTATAAGTTAAATTGTTTTATATTTGAAATGAATTATCCATTTTAAAACTGATTCAAATATTTTTAATTTGGAGTTTATTTAAAAATACAATTTAATGCAAAGCGAATAAAAAAAATAAAGCGAAACTTTAATTTTTAGAAGAGATTGTAAAATGAAAAACTAATCATCAATTTTATTTACGTAGCCATTTCCAGTTTTATTTTAGGATGAGGATTATAACCAAGGACCTCGAAGTCTTCAAATGTAAAATCATCAATTGATGCAACTTTCCTTTTTATCTTCAGCTTGGGAAATGGTCTTGGTTGTCGAGACAACTGCAAGTAATGAAAGAAAGAAATTATTTAAAATTTATCATGTTAACAAAATCTCAACAAAATTACCTGAACTTCAATTCCCTCAACATGATTCTTATAAATATGTGCATCACCAATTTGATGAATGAACTCTCCAGGCTCTAAGTTTGTAACATGTGCGATCATATGAGTTAAAATAGAGTAGCTGGCAACATTGAATGGTACTCCTAAACCCATATCTGCTGATCTTTGGTCGAGTCGACAGGACAATTTACCATCAGTTACATAAAATTGAAACAAACAATGACATGGAGGCAATGCCATGAAAGGAATATCTTAAAAGAAAAAAAATAATCGTTAAAGACTTTTTAAGTTCATGATGCAGAATTTTTTACCTGCAACATTCCAAGCACTAACAATAAGTCTTCTGTCGTTTGGATTCGATTTGATTTTTTCAATAACATTTTTCAACTGGTCAATACCTTGACCAGAATAATTTGTATTTGCATCAATATATTTGGCACCCCAATGTCGCCATTGAAACCCATAAATAGGACCTAAATCTCCTTCTTCTCTATCTGAGAAACCAACAGAATCTAAAAATTCTTTCGATCCATTAGCATCCCAAATATGAACTCCTTTTTCTTGCAATATTTTGCTGTTTGTTTCCCCTTTAATGAACCACAGAAGTTCCTCCAACACTCCTCGAAAAAAAACACGTTTAGTTGTAAAAAGTGGTAAACATCCATCTTTCAAATTGTAACGATTTTGGATGCCAAAAACTGAAATGGTTCCAACGCCGGTGCGATCTATTTTTGTTGTGCCTTTTTTCAAAATTTGGCGCAAACTTTTTAAATATCCCTCCTCATCAACTTCCTCAACCGGCATCTGAAGGGGATGAAAATAAAGTAATGGCACGAGATGTTAAATAAAACATAAAGCAAAAATAACACTCACTTCGTTAGCAAGAAGTGACATCAGATCGGGCTTCAGCCCTAATAAAAGCCGCTTCATATCTTCAATTGATTCATTGGTCTGATCTGTCTCGATTCTTGACACCACTGAATTTAGACGCTTCAAAGAACACCAGTAATTATCAGAGCCTTTGGAACAAAAGAAAAATTGTAAAATGAAAATGCCGCACACATATTGAGAAATGAAATTACTTACCAGTGTGAACACTATGTTCTGATAAATTACTCAAAGCCATGATTAATTAAATTTCTTTGATTATTTTATACTACACAGATAAATAAACAATGATGAAAGAGCACAAACTTTGTGCCACAAAGGGTAAGACATAAGAAGTGCTCGTCGGCTCACTTCTCTTCTCCTTAGCCACAACTAGTTTCGGCTTAAGCCGAGTAGCTCATTAAAAAAACTTAGTATTTAAGGGTTAATTTTAACAATTAACTTTGTTATTCACAGAATTGAAACATAATAAAGGAGCATAATGCAACTATTCTACAGGCTTAACAAACGTAAGTCTCGTCTAAATTTCAGTTTTGCTATATTCAATGATTAAATTGATGCAATTTCAAGCCATTACAATGCACCATAGAAGCTGTTCCAACACTCCTCGGCAAGCAAAGTTAACTTGTAACGATTTTGGATGCCAAAAACCTGAATGGTTCTAACGCCGGTGCGATCTATTTTTGTTGTACCTTTTTTCAAAATTTGGCGAAAACTTTTCAAACATCTCTCTTTAAAGACATCTTCGACTGGAACCTGAAGCAAGAGTAATAGCAAAGAGCGTAGTTATACTCCTTGGTGGTAATACAATCATTCTCGTTTGTTTAGAACCAACTTTCATATGAACAAAACCAGAATTCAAAAGAGTAAAACCGGATGACTGTAAAGACACAGAGCTTTCAAAACAACAAAACCGCGTTCAAATTACCAAAACTCACTTTCATAAGACAAAAACTCTCGAGTTTACTCTCTAATTTGTAAGTTTAAACAAATATTGGTGGCAAACAGATGTAATAATTGCTGTTGTAATAATCACCAGCAATTTGATCAGTTCCAATAATCTAATTTACTCATTACAATATTTAAATCAACTAAGAATTTGTTGATCAAATTTTACCAATCAATATTGAATTTGCATTCAAAGGATGAGATGGAGAACATGAAAATTTTCCAATGTAATTTATGAAAATTAATCTTAAAAATCGGTAACAGTCTAGTTATACACACAAAACAATAACAAAGGCGTTAATTGAGGCCCCAGGCCATCCAAGCCCAATCGAACCTAACCAAACCTAATCTAACCTAACCTAACCTAGTCCGACCTAGAGCGCGATAATGAACGATTATTTACTAGTATTTGAATCTATAGCACTGTTTATTATATGTGTCCGTGTAACTAGACTCTCACCTAAAAATCTAACATGAGCCATCATTGGTCTGTGACCAATAAACTGGAATGACAAAAAATGAATATTTATTTCTAGAAACAAAATGAAAAATATCATTTCAAATCATCCTGTGCTTTAACAATCAAAGGAAGGTATAGTAACTCAAAAAATTATTAAATTAAAAGCAACATTTTAAGTTGCAGTTGCTCGATTAAGCAAAATTGAAATCATGAATTATGCCGCTCGACGAATAGTGGAAATAAGCTATTTTAAGTCAGTCTAAATTGGTTGAAGGGCAATGTAAGACGGAACCCTCGCGTTAATCTCGAGGCTGTAACATTGAGATCTTCCATACAGAGATAGTCAGTTAGTTTCATCAATTCTGAAATATTAGCAATCGAAATACATATTGTTCTATCATAAGCCCAATCAATGATCATGTCAAATAGTTCCGTCGGGTGATCCAGTTCTATCTCGTTGGCGTTAGATTCCTCTAGTCCAGATGAAAACATTGCATTGAAGTATGGAATGAACGAACACAGAATTATTTTGTGAACACGATATTCCTTTCCTCTGTTGTATATTGTCAAATCACTCAATTTATTATCCAGTAATAAATTGTATGGGTAATAAAAATAAAGACTCATCCGCCTTGGAATAACGTTATCACGTGTGCAATACAAAACATAACCAGCTTAGACATACCCACTAATAGGGAACGTGAGCTGGGATTAGACCGTCGTGAGACAGGTTAGTTTTACCCTACTGATGACTTGTCGTTGCAAAAGAAATCCTGCTCAGTACGAGAGGAACCGCAGGTTCGGACAAATGGTACATGTGCCTGCTCGACCGAGCAATGGCACGACGCTATCGTCCGAGGGATTATGACTGAACGCCTCTAAGTCAGAATCCCGTCATTATACGGTAACGATACCGTTAAGTACTCAGTGTGGCCATAGGTAAAACTATGTTGGTGTAACCAATATTTACCATACCCTTTAATGGAGAGAAAGCATTCAGGTTTGGGTTGATAATAACATCAAACCGTCTATTCCGACCATAAATTCAAAACGAATTTATGTTGGTCTGCCTGAGTATAAAATGATCCGTAGACATATCTTAATCGAATTTTCATGTCTCTAAATCTATGAGAACTAATCTTTCTGAAGTGAGGCTCGATGAAGATGAAAAAGCGAAAAAACCCCTCGGAAGTTTGTTGGCCTGAGAAATCCTAAAATGCTGATCTTAAGGTCTGTTTGACCAATCGAAATATGCATCAAAGTCTCCTCTTTCGATAACAATTCTTTTGAATATTCTAGCTCAACTCCTTCTCCTTAAATCAAATTTCAAACTTCTATGAAAAAAGCCGGAAACTTATTCCCACACCTAATAAATAGACAATCCTTTGGGTCAATGTCACAGGTACAAGTATACTTTTTGGCCTTTTGTTTGCTTTATGCTCTTCCCATTCCTGTTCTGCCCACCTGTCCACCACGATTTTGCCCATTTTTGAAAATCGGTATAATACAAAATGTTAATCAAATGTCGGCATTTTTGTTAGGACTGAATCAGTCAGTTTTTTTGGCACGATATAAGATATACGATTCAATTGCTTTAAATTTACTAATTTGTTTTCATCTACCGTCTTTCCAAAAATCAAACTTGAGTCCATTGAGTTGGAGGTGAGAATCGATGAGAATGAGGTGGCCTCATGCTAGGATTACCTGTAATCAGATAAAATCCATATACGTATATGTAGATAGCCACGAGTTAGATAGCTATTTGTTCAGCTTCTGTTGATGGCATCATTTCAAAACAAAATCTAGCTAAAAGCTTGTAGCTTACAAGTCTATATGTAATGTTCAACTTTTTATTTTATGTAATTTCTACGCTTGCGCTTTTTACAAATTGATATCTTTTTTATTTTTGTGATTATTTCTTTAAAATAACTCCTCCAAGTTAATATTAATGACGCGTCGTCGTTTATTGCTGAACTATCCGCAAATTATGAGACTCACGAATTGAGTAACTTGTCTAATGACGATACAATGCCCATTTAGATGGATAAAAATCGCATCACCTGGTCAAGGATCTCTGATCATTGGTCAAAATCTTATTATGAATAAGTAAATTGAAACATTTTAAATTTGAATCAAATAACATTCAATTTGATAAATTTTATCTCAATTTAGATCGATTACATCCTGCATTTGGTGCCGATTTCTCTGTTCAACTAATCAACTTGATTTTCGATGAAAGACGAGTTGATAATTTTAGTTCAGATGATGTTCAAATGATGAACGATTTGGATGATACGGCCCAGGAAGAAGCACAAGATTTAAGTATTCATAGTTGCCATAACTGTAGATCGTCTGATGCCTCTCAAACAAGCATGGATTATTCTGATTTCAAAGTTGAATCAGACCAATCCAATGTTCACCAGCTTTGGACACAAATGAAAACATCTTCAAGGTAAGATATCAATTTAATACAGAACCTTTAATTTACTTGATTTTTTAGTATTGAACTAACAACCTTATTGTTATCCAGCTATCTACTATCTACGGTCTATAGATTGAAAGAAACGAGGATGTGTCGTTTTCTCGAGAAGAATCTTGCGAAAATTTTGCTACTCCTGATAACTCAACATCATCACCATCCAGTGATAATCATGACAATTGATTGTGGTAAACGATACAGTACATCTGTAACTTTGCGCGTCATCGTCAAATCATAGAAACTTCACTGACAAGAAAGCTCGCCAATGTCCTCATTGTAATAACAAAGTTTATGTATCAATGCCAGCTTATAAGCTTAGTATGCATCTTCGGACTCATGAACAAGGCTGTCGATGTACTTATTGCGGGAAACGTTTCAATTTCATGGCTTCTACAGGGATACATTAGAACACACACCGGTAAGTAATGAGAAACATTAAATTAATTTTAAGTCGCTAATCGTTTTCAACTCAAAGTGTCAACCAAATCATCCCGCCGTCTTATTCTTGTAACCTGTTAAATATTTTATTGAGTATCTTTTTCTGGACAATTCAGATAGAGGAAAGACTACATTTAAGAGTTGTTATCGACAGAATCATCTACTTCTAAATCGTAAATACTTCAATCAATGATGATCAAACTTATTCACCAAAGTGCCTTGGAAATAATATCTATGAACAGAAACATTAGAGATGAAAGTTTTGACTGATCAACTGTCGAATAATTGAGCTCGAATCTTCAGTCATATACATAACATGTATAACAAATATTATTGATTACTATTTTCCAATAATTTTATCATACAGTAGTATTCATAAGCAATTTTATTTTTATCAACTAAAGTCTATCTATTTTGCATAAACCAAGATCTTGCTTTGATTAGCTTAATTACTTTGTTTCCAATTGAACCCATAAATCAAGTCTTACTTTTCTAATTTCTAGTTTACATTTAAATCAGTCTTTCCAAAGCATGATTATGCTCATGATGAGGTCAATCTAGTTCACAATCACATATTATTTTGTTAAATTCATTGCCATTCAATAATTTCTATGAATTTTTTCTCTTACATTGTATATCATTCCCTTCACCAATATTATATAATACAATTTGTCTGCTATTTATTCAATCAATTTTTTTCAAACAATTATCATTCAACTCAATGGGAATAATAACTGATAATTGTGATAATCTATACAGCGACCAAGCGTGTACAGCTTTCAAATTTGCCAAGCATTTTGATATTCATTGAAAAGGGAAAATATTTCTGAAATAAAAAAGACTGATTGATTAAGGGAAGATAAAAGGAGGAAAAATATTAGGAAATAAGAACATAAAGAATAAAGATTGAAGAATGATCTAGATCGATGAATTTAACTTACCTTGACAATAAACTTCTCTATCCCCTTTCAATCTCTTGAGAATCTTTTCATAGTCTACCTTAATTCCTCGAGCTTGGGCATAGTAGGACATTAGTAGGTTTCCGATTGATAGACAGACAGATAGACAGTGCCAAATTAGACGAGATGAACAAGAGAAGGCAAAAATAAAGGCTACTCAATTCTTTTTTGTTTCTTCCTATTCATTTTCTCCCACTTTATCTACCTAATATTATTCCCTTTTCTTTCAAAGCTTTGGCCTTTTTTTGCGAACAAAGTTGATGAATTTTCCTACAGCAAACACATCACTCAGTCTTCCATCTGAAACGATTCTTGGACATGAAGACATTGGGAGATCTGGAAGTCAATAAATTGTATGGAGAAAGAAACAAAATGACAGTATCAAACTATACGATCAGATTGACATTGAAGTTGGTTCACAGAAAGATAGTTCAACAGTTTATATCTTGGATGACTTAAGCATGTTAAAGGAAGGATAAAACAGAAGCTTACCATTGACATCAGCTGAATATCAGGTTTGAAATAAAGTGTGTGCAACTTAATTCTGGTCCTTGCTTCAGAGTAAACCATTCGATATGGAAAAACTTTTGAAAAATCATGTAACACAGCTGTGAAGAAAGAGACTGGTAATTACCAAAGATGGAACAATCTTCTGATTGAAATATTGTTAATCAGGTATGAAAATTAACTCTGATTTTAATGGAAATATTTATCATCGACCTGAAGGAATAAACTAACAAGGGAAGTAACCTCGTAACTTTTTTCAGATCGATTTCCTCCACGGGAGATTAGTGTTTTTAAGGGTTTTCTGACACGGGCTTTCCAATAAACCCACTTTTATTTTGATCTGCCCGTACCAACGAGGTTACTTCCCTTGTAAGTTAAGGAAAACAATTGAATTCAATTAGTGAAGATCAAAATAATAGTCGAAAGCTTACACACAACTACAGTAAACACTTGTCTTTACAAAGCAAACGTTACCCAGTTATGGCTCATCTTAAGTTTCATTGCATAATATAACGGCTCTCAAAGCTTTTTTAGCTTAGCCGTTTTGAATGCAGAATGTCTTAGTCATAGTGATTAACTCGACATACTAATTAATTATAGCTTAATTATATAAGAAGTAGTTGCGTCTGAATCTTATTTTTGTCCATATTTTTGACCGGAATCAATCTGATTTTTTTCTTTATGATGAATTAGGGCAAAGTAAACTTTAAATACAATCCCTTTTGAAAGCCAAAGTCAGAAGTACGTCGAATCATACATTTCTGAACGATTGAAATTAACTCTTCTAATCGCTCTTTACCAAACTGATGATCTCGATCTGATGCAGCAGCATCTCTACCACGGAGAATTGGATTTTCATACTTTTTCTTAAAATCTTGAACTGTACCAAGGATACCGCTATTGACAAAATGAAGTATTCCAGCAGATCATTCTGAATCGGTGTACCAGACAAGCGAACTCTTCTCTTGACATTAAGTTGATTAACGCTGTATATGTTTGATTCTCCATGTTCTTTAAACGATGTCCTGCATCACAAAGAATCAGACCAACTTCTCCGAGGTAAAGAACATTAGTATGCAGACGGAAAGTCTCATAGGAAATTATTAACACAGGAATAACACATATTGTGCCACTAGAGTTAATGTAGGTTCTATTTCTGAGAGTGCCGCTTTTTGGTTGGTAAACAATAACTTCTCAGCCGATAGACATATCGACATGGGATTTCTATCTTAGGGCTTAAAAACAACTGAACATTAATATGAAAAATATTCAATATCATTCAAAGAAATCATAGCAAAAAAGTTTCTATCAAGTTCGCATTATGGCCCTTGAGGTCACTTCATTTGAAATCACAATTCATGGTTCTACATGTTAAATTTATTTTATGCCAAATCTATCTTCCTTATTAAATTTAAAAACATGTTATTCTTATATTGTTGAATATAAGGGCGAATTTTGAAAATCGCCTCCCTACCTCTCCCTAGATTTGCAGCCTTAACTGAAAATTTGTATTACCAATCTTTATTAAAACACATTTTTTCATATTATCCATGTATTTTCATCTAACATCTCTAAAGATTTGCAAATACAAATTTTTTACCATTTAAATTTGCTTAATATTTCAACTTAAGTTAAAATTTGAATCTATTTATTTTTAAATGAAATCAAACGACGAGTTGAAGGTAATGAGCAATCCTCATTGGCGGTTACTTTCCAGGTAGTACAACCAGTACGTCGCCTTGCATCACCATTCAAATGACGCTTAGCCAAGTCACTTCGGCCCAAAGGAAATGTCCTAAAACACCAGGGACACTGATGAGTTACTTTCCCTCTTTTCTCAGCACGAAGCTCTAATGTTTGTTTTTTTAGCTCTTCAATCGTATAAGTTTCGGGATCTCTGTCCACCATTAGAGGTGGACGACCGTCATCATAAACAACGCGCTGTTTGGAATACCACTCAGCCCTAACCTTGTCATACATTTTCCCATCAATCTTTGCTGAATGCATAACCTCAACTGGCCATTCGATCTGATTGAAAGTTACCTAAAAGAATGGTTAAATTAGTCATTTTAAACATTTTTTGCCCAATGCACTCACTTTTTTGGCCATTTTGCTTATTTTTCTGAATGTAATAATAAACCAATGTAAATAATACCAATATAATAAATACCAATTTAATAAATTAATTCAATTTGAATCAAATCAAATATTTGAAAATATCACAAATTTAAGTTAATAAATTAATTTATTTAGTTGATGTATGTGGATAAACTGATTCAAAAATTACTTTTACCAAGATAATAATGATTACGTTAAAGATCTACGTTAAAGGATATTAAATGCAACGGCAAAAAGTTGCCAGTTGTCAAGACAGGATAATATTTTACCATATTTGCTTTTTTGCCTTTTACCAGAATCCCTTTTTTCCAAAGTCGGCTCAATTATCAATGAGAAACGGAACTGAATTTCACCAAAATGTTAATATGTTAATGTTTTAAGCTCATTGCCTGATTCTCTCATTTAATTTATCAATATTAGTCAAGTCAATATGAATCTCATACACGTTTGTTTCCTATTTTTCATTTAAAATTTAAAATTTTCATGTAGCAAATAACAATATATTCCAATATTTTTTCAATAACAATAACAACAATATTATCGATAAGTGCCAGAAAATATTTTTCTATCAATAAATAAGTTTTTTCAATATTTTGCAACACTAAAGCAAACCAAAAAGTGGAAAGGAACGAAAGCGAACTGAAATCCGTTGTTGTTTCTATAGAATCTGTTAGATGGCGTTAGCTACATAATTAGTTTTTTATTTGTATATTTAGTTTACTGATTGTTTTAAAGTAACCCAGTATGTTGATTAAATATTTGATTTTTGACCTGAGTGATTAACACACATGCAACAGCTAAAGTTTACAGAATTCATTAACTTGATATGCTGTTTAAGTTGTACAAACTAAACAAAATAATCCGTAATTAATAAAATCTTGGCCACTTGAAATATTAACTGTACTAAATGAACAAAATAAATCAACTGAAAGGACATTAAAAAATATTAAATTAGACCACATCGAGCATTGAATGTATGGTAGACCTGTGACATTTTTTTTTGTCATGGATTGTGTTTTTGTGGTGACTAGAAAGGACTTCTGCTTTGTATTGAGAATGCTCAATGTTGGAAATGAACTAAACTTATCTGATCAATAATTTGAAAGTTTTTTTCTCATTGTTATCTGAAAATTGTTGAAAGTTCAAGATTAAATTGAATGAAGCAATGAAGCAATGAATTTACAATTGGATTGTTTCATCGTGAACTATCAAATTGAATCATCTCAAATGCATTACCATCTTCATAACCTTTTGTTTTGCGATTCTCGTGTTTTCATTTCAAGTGATTACCATCATCATCATCATCTTTTTAAATCTTAATCCGACCTTATCCAAGACAATCTAAATTAACGATGGCATAACATTGAAAAAGGAAGTTAATCAATGATGATCAACTGATGATAGTGATGATTTTTACCATTTAATGGTGGCCATTTGGTGATGTTAAGAGTTATCATTGATTGTTTCCTTTACTCTGTAGACAAAATTATTTGATTGTTCACTTGATTGTACCGGAACTACTTTAATCAACTAATGGTCTGTCACCTATTAAACCATCTTGTACAAGATAATTCAATTATTTATCTAATCATTGGGTTGAGTCAATTCTTCAATAAAACCCATTTTTTCATCGTCAGTTCAACAGCAAAAAGATATTAAATTGAAATAAAATGAATTTTAAAAAATTGATTGTAGCAGTTAATCAAGTCAATCAACATTGTCCATTACTGTTCAAGATTTACTTTTATATCATAAACCAGATTATAATACATCATTGGACCAGGATCTTGGAATTGGATTTACCAAATTAACCAGTTAACAAAATGTTATGTATTGGTTAGTGCGTTAACCGTTGACTATAATAGCAATTGACATTTGTTGTTTTACATTCAAACATCAGATTAACAATAAAATGAAAGGTCAATTGTATCATTTACTCTATCATCAGCATTGATAAAACTAATAAAGAGAAAGGGTTAACACTTGAACGTTACATTTTGTGTAATTTGAATAATGATAATGTTGAACTGTTTGTTGTGTGTTACTGTTGTTAATAGCTGTTTGATTTGTTCCAATTTCAATTGAGATCACCAATTGATGAATAATAATGAATAGGAATAAAGATGGACGAAAGGTTGTTAATCATAAATTTTGTACCAATAATCTAATAATATTACAATAAGCACTCTGATTTTAGCAAACCTTTTTTTAACTGCAACTCAATGGTTATGTTGGAAAACAAAATAGTGATTAACAATAGATTTGGATTAGCAACTTTTTGTTTCCCAGATCAAAGAGGCAATCATAACTCAACTTTATTTTTTATTTGCTGTTAGTCTAAACCATCTTATTGTTTTGATTGTTGATTCTGGTAGTAATAATGACTTAATTTAATGAATACAATAAAGTAACTTTCCAAGTGAATGTTTGTATCGATGTATATTAATAATACAATGTAAATGGTGAGGCCAGGAAACTTTAATCTCAGCTATTTATAAAATTGAAGTTTAATGTTGACCGAATAAGCTTGATGTTTATTGGCTTTGCTTGATTCATTCGTTTTACGGCAATTGTAGTTGTTTGATTAAACAATCATCACTTTGGGCCCGAGTATCAATACATTTATCAAACAATAGAGAGTAAAAAAAGGTTAAACAAAGAAAGTTGATTAAAGATTGACTGTAGGAAACTTATTTTGTTTAAATGATTGTAACTGTGAGAAAGTATTTATATTGTGCATTAACGATTTGTACACTTTAACAAGATATCTGATGGTTTACATACGGCTAATTTTCATTGTCATACTAATTAAAACAGCATTGCTCAGTGAAAGTTAATTGGCTATCCGGAAATTGTGATTTTAATCAAGCTAACGTTAATGAGAGTGATAATATCTCATTTAATATAACCTAAATATGCTAACGCTCAATTAAAATTCATAGCGGAAGCTAAGGTCAACTATCAATATATAAAATGGCTACAAATTGATTCCAAACGGTCCAGTCTGCAAATTAGGACAGTCCATGTGTTGGTCAAGGCGAAAATATGTCAACAATTTGAAACTGGATACACTAAATGCTTGAAATCTCGGATTAAAACACACCAAGCCAATAAGATTTGCATTTTAGGCTTTCAACCATGATTTATTCAATCAGCTGCCAATGTACGATCTCGTGTGCTTCCATCTAATAACAAAACGAGAAACAGATTAGTTAGAGTAAATGACAATTATCTCATTACAACTTGCTTAATAAATACAATGGAATTGAAATGATTATGATGATTATTGAAGATAATTCTAGGTTGATTGAAGAATAAGCTGGCTGGGTATTAATTATGGTTAATTATGATTAAATAAGTTTACCAAATGTAGACAAAAATGAGACTTTTAGCTTAATATGCCATTTCATTTCACTTTGACTTCACTAAACGTAAAACAAAAGTGACTGCGATAGGAATGAAAATGAAAGGTTGAGTTAATTAAATTAACTATTAACTTACCATTTAAGTGTTCACGATTCAATAGATTGTTAAATGAAATGATGATCAGTTATAAGATGATATTTAATAAATAAACAAACTGCAAATCAAAAAAGCGTCCATCAAGATGGCCAAGTTAAAGATGGATGAATCACAAGACAACACAAGCTGTGAGAAAAGGAAAAGGAGGGAACAATTTATAATTACATTCTGTTATAAATAAACGGACCAATTGACGATTAAACAGTTGGTTCTGTCCAAATTGTTGATTATATCAATTGTTTACCTTAAGCTAAATCAAACAGGAATCAAAATTTGTTGATAAAATGAAATAAGATGTACATTAAAGTGTATTATCATCATGCAAGGTTGACTCTCATGCTTTGTCAAATTGGATTAGAGTGTTGATTGAAATAGTTTCAATGACACTGTTGCTATTTATTGTTCAATCTGTAGAGTCTTTTCAATTGTAAAATTACATGATTATTAACCTCTAATTGTGTGTAACACTCGTCATTATCTGGATTGTTATGAATCAATTTTTCATTATCCAGGTTGGTCTAACATTATGGCAGATAAAATCAACTTAAATGTCAAGTCCAAGTTTATTCTTGAATGCAAATTCAAGTGTTTGTATGCTCATTATATACCAATTTTAACCAGTTTAATAAAAATTTCGTGATGCAATTTGTTTGTAAGGCAATTAAATAACAATAAAGATAACAATGAAGGGTTAAAATTATAAACAAAGTTGACATTCGTAATGCAATTCAGCAGTTAAAGATGAATATGTTGATTTGATGAACATTTGTTGTGCTTTTAAAAAAGGTTAACATTGAAAATTTTGACCCACAAAATTAGTCTTGTTTATTGTCGATGCAACTCGATTTAATAGTCAATTGAATATATTACCGAAGTTGAACTCAAAATTTACAATAAAATGAAGATTGGTTGTAAATGGAAGTAAATTCAGGATGGAGTGAAAAAGTAAAAGTTACTGATAAATTGCTTACAAACCCACTTTAATTATCGATAATTTATCGTCCTAAAGGTAAATGAAAAGAGTCAATTTTGTTGATTTACAGTAGAGTACTCCATAACTTGGTAGAATTTCGGTATGGCGTCCCCTATTGAGGGAGGTTACTTGCCAATCCTTTTTTAATTGTTAACGAAAGTTGAAAATTGGTTGTAACGTTGCAATGAATTTGATTGGTATCGATGAATTAGTGAATTTATTAGACCTTGTTCCACAGGAAATTATTGCTCAAAACTTCGGAATAAGTCAACAATATGTTAGTTTCCTGAGTCGCCAGAAAGACGAAATTTTAACAAACTTTAAAGGTGAAAATGACAAGAGAAAGAGATTGAACAAAAAAATCAACAAACAATTGGATAATGAAGTGATCATTTTTTGTAGAAAAATGATAGATTCAGG